AGAGAAAGAGAAACATCCATGTAAGAGAGAAACATCAATTGATTGCCTTCTGTACATTCCCTGACCAGGGATGGAACCCCCCCTGGTATGTGCCCTGACCAGGAATCAAACCAGGCAACCTTTTGGTGCAAAGGATGATGCCTAACCAACTGAGCTACTCTGGCCAGGTAGGAGAAGTAAGTTTTAAATTTATTTCATATCATTACAGTCAAATAAATATTCTAAGAACAGAGTTTCAAAAAGAACATAATAAATTATGAATACAGGCAGGATCTGCTTCTTATTTTATTGTGTTCTTGACAGTTCTTGTAGAGCTGTCCTGTTTTAGGCAGCACTATTAAAATAGGGTTGTATTCCTGACTAATAATGAAGCAACAGATAAAATTATTCAATCATTTATATACATACATGATATGGGTCTGTATGTGGGTATATGAGAGCTACATGGGTTGATGTAAAGTTGCTATGAACAATCTAAAGAAAACAGCCTGGCTGGTGGTTCAGCACTGACCTATGAACCATACCAGGAGGTCACGGTTTGACTTCCAGTCAGGGCACATGCCTAGGTTGTGGGCTCCATCCCCAGTGTGGGGCATGCAGGAGGCAGCCAATCCATGAATCTGTCTCATCATTGATGTTTCTGTCTGTCTCTCCCTCTCTTTTCCTCTGAAATAAATTTTTAAAAATTACAAAAAATAAAAAGATAAGATTCATAACTATTATATAATAGTAAAATTATGCCATTTTGCCAAAAGGCTGATTTAATGTATAGATAGGTTCCAATAACTAAGGGCACTAGATAGAGTCTTCCTGCTGATCTTATTTATATTTCTCTTAAAAAAATACACTATTATAAAATGCATTATTCAGGTGAGAGATTAGTGTAGAATAGTGTTTGGTGCAATTTAAATAGAAACATTTATAGTAAGAAATATTGAGAAGCATTACACTTGACTCTAGTCTAATGTTCATTTATGCTTATTTTTAAAAAGACATGGTATCATCTAAATATTTGATGATATCATGAGGAATTTAGCTGTTTTTGCAAAGCAGAGCTTTCAAAATACTACAGTATAATATTGTTAGTCCTGTTTTATTTTATTTTAATTTTTTACTTTTCTCTTGTCTACCACAACTAGGAAAGCATTAAAAGAGAAAAATAACATAAGAGGACAGATTTGTTGTGATTATAGGTGGAAGGGGCAGAGAGACAGACCTTAGACATGTACACGAGAGATATCTTTGGGTATCTTTTGGGAGTAAAGTAGCCCAAGTATGATTAAGTGAAGTTTGGGTATTAGAGTTGAGGAGCACAGAAGTCTGTAGTGTAGATCTGTAGCACATGGTTTGTAGACTGAAGAAAAAGTGGTTTGTTTTTTGGATGGCATTTATAAAGACTTCATTTACATGTTAATATTCTTTTGAATGTACATAGATTTTTTTTCTTTATTTTTTTAAAAAATATATATTTTATTGATTTTTTACAGAGAGGAAGGGGGAGAGATAGAGAGCTAGAATCGTCGATGAGAGAGAAACATCGACCAGCTGCCTCCTGCACACCCTCCACCCGGGATGTGCCCGCAACCAAGGTACATGCCCTTGACCAGAAACGAACCTGGGACCTTTCAGTCCGCAGACCAATGCTCTATCCACTGAGCCAAACTGGTTTTGGCCTCAGATGAGGATTTAAAAAAAAAAATTACTTCTCCTAGTTTTCTTGATCTTATAAATATATGCAAACCCTCCCTCCTTTTTTTTAGTGATCTTAGGTAGAAAAGAAGGGAGGGTTGAGAGAGAGAGAGAGAGAGAGATGGAGAGAGAAACATCTATTTTTTGTTCCACTTATTTATCCATTCATTGGTTGCTTCTTGTATATGCCCTAACCAGGAATGAATCCAAAACCTTGGAATATCAGGAAGATGCTCTAATCCAGTGGTCGGCAAACTCATTAGTCAACAGAGCCAAATATCAACAGTACAACGATTGAAATTTATTTTGGGAGCCAACGTTTTTAAACTTAAACTTCTTCTAATGCTATTTCTTCAAAATAGACTCGCCCAGGCTGTGGTATTTTGTGGAAGAGCCACATGTGGTTCGAGAGCCACAGTTTGCCGACTTCAACTCTAACCAATTGAGCTACTCTGCGAGGGCACTATTTCTTAATTTGGGTCAAAGTTACTTCCATTTGTCAAATCACCAATTCTCTGATCTGATTCTAAAGTCTAAAATATTAAAGAACTACTTTTGTTTATTCCTCTTATATTTTCTTCTAAACTTCCTACAAGCAGAAATATTTTGAGCACTGAGTTTTACTTTAATAGATGATAAAACAAACCAAAAAGGGTCTGGTATTTTCTAGATTTTGACTACTAGAAAAAAAGTCTTAGTGTCACTATTCTCTTTCTAAAGTTCACTTTTACTGCCGAAACCGGTTTGGCTCAATGGATAGAGCGTCGGCTTGGGGACTGAGAGGTCCCGGGTTCGATTCCGGTCAAGGGCATGTACCTTGGTTGCGAGCATATCCCCGGTAGGGGGTGTGCAAGAGGCAACTGATCGATGACTCTCTCTCATCGATGTTTCTAGCTCTCTATCTCTCTCCCTTCCTCTCTGTACAAAACCAATAAAAATATATTTAAAAAAATAAAATAAAATAAAATAAAGTTCACTTTTACTTAGACTGAAGCCTTATACATTTACCAGAATAAAATAAAGACACCAAACCACTAATACACTGATCCCTTCAGGAACTCACTTAGAACTCGATTAATTAAACTAGTCTTGCCTAGTCCTTGTGGATTGGGAGTTGTCCTGTGGTTCGATTTCTGGTCAGAACACATGATCAGGTTGTGGGCTGGATCCCCAGTGGGGGGTGTACAGTAAGCAGATGATCTCTCATTGATGTTTCTCTCTCTCCCTCTCAAAAATCAATAAAAAACATTTTAAGAAACAAAAACTAGTCTTTCCATCTTTAAAATACTATTTTTCACACAGCTGACTAGAGCATGAAATGTTGATTACAAATAATCATATTAGTTCATTATAGGTAAATATAAACAGATGCAGCCGAAACCGGTTTGGCTCAGTGGTAGAGCGTCGGTCTGCAGACTAAAAGGTCCCAGAGGTTAGATTCCGGTCAGGGGCATGTACGTTGGTTGCGGGCACATCCCCGGTAGGATGTTTCCCTCTCATCGACGTTTCTAGCTCTCTATCTCTCTCCCTTTCTCTCTGTAAAAAATCAATAAAATATATATATATATATAAAAAAAAGATGCAAACAAATTTTTCCTATTTGTCACAATCTCCCAATGATTAGATTATTTCATCCTAAGAGATAATACTTAAAAAAAATACTAAGATTATAAAGACAAAATTAACAAAATTAATTGACAAAATATATTAACATAATAAAATTAATTAGGGTTAGGGTCTGCCTACCTAACAGTTCAAGTTTACAATTAAAATTTACCATCCTCCTTTTAAAAAAAGGAAAGAGGTCTTGGGGTATTCACCAAGTTTAGAAAAAAAGTAAAACAGTCTTCAGTGAAGGAGCAATTTCTGGACCACCAAGGGAATTATTTCTATAGAATTTTTAAAATCTTTTATTAGAGGGTAACTACCAGCAGTCACAATTATGAAGACAAACTGTATGTACAAACACTCCATAAATAAAATGTGCTTTTATTTACTTTTTCACATTTCCAGCTGAAACAGTTTGAGGCTCATCAACCCCCTCACATTTACCGAAATGTTAACAAATACAGCTGAGGAGTGAAATATGTGATTTTTTAAAAAATGTTCTTCTTTATAGGTTTCCATAATCTTCACAAATTTCCCAGAGTGAACATTTATTACTTCTACACTGTATTCAGAAACATCTCATTCAAAAAGAGAAACCAATCATATAATAAAAGGTTCATTCAGAAGGGCTCTCCATGTTGTACAAATATCACTGACATGATTCACCATTAAAGATCATGCCTCCACCCCTTCTCGCTTCCCAACGCTCAAAGGCTGTGTGATGTTCCTGTTACTTTTCTGCTGCCTCCTCGCTTCCACACGTACACACACACACTCTCTTAATTTTTTTTTCATCACAGTTCTCCCTAATCCTACAAAGTCCTATTTTTAAAATAAAAAAAAAACCTACCTAAGTCTCATTATAGCAAATTCAGAAAGGAAAAAAAATAAATAAAAATTTAAAAAAAAGATGGTTTTACCCACTAAGTACAACTTCGTGAAGCCACACCATCACTTTAATTACGGAAAAGTCAAGGCCGGGTAAACTACACGTCCCGCCATGCATTGCTGCCTTGTTCAGAGTAGGTCTCTACGGAAACAGAAAAAAAAAAAAAAAATTCTACAAGTCCCACCTGTTACTTGGTTTCTAAACACCTCCTGCACTTTTCAGCTGCAACAGCAAACAAACAACAAACAAAACAGGAGCCTCGTGACCTCGCGTGGGACCGGGGAGCCCAGAGGAGCAGGGAGCCCGAGGTCAGGCGCCTTGTCTGCTCGCCCGGGTCAATTCTGCCAAGCGCCGGGGCTCCCCGCTTGGCTCCGGGGCTGGGTGCACGCACAAGCCGCCTCCGGTCTCCCTCCAATGGGGGATCCTCAGCCGCACGAGGGAGGAGAACCGGTTACCGTGCAAGCACCGCAGACTTCCCCCATGCCGGGGCGGGGGCGACCCACCCAGACGGGGGGGGGGGGAGTGGGGGGAGTGAGAGCGCCGTGACTCCGAGAGGCAAGCTTCCAAACACGTTTAAGAGGACTCGTCGCAATCGCGGGGAGAAGCACAAACGCCGCGACGACCCTCTTCCCGCCGGGCGCCTCCATTCCCACACGGGTCGCACCCCGACCCTAACCGCCGCCCTCCCGGCGCGGCTTCGTGGCCCCCCCCCTCCGCCGGGTCGCCGGGCCAATGACCTCCCTTCCTCCTGCCTCCGGAGGTCGGCGAGGGAAACAAACCCTCCCGGCCTCCCCCTCCGCTTCCTCCCCCTTACCGTCTTGGCGGCCTCCGCCCAGGTCCTGCCCTTCTTCCTACGGCCCTTTTCCCTCATGTCGGGTCTTGAACTGACTGGGAGGCTCCCGTGTCCGGGCTCCGGCCGCCCTCTCCCTGCCTGCTCTCTGCCCTGCGCGGCTGTTCCCGCGGAGCCGGGAAAGGTGGGAGGAAGGGGAAGTCGGGCCGGAGGAGCACCCAAGCAGAGGAAGCGGCGGAAGGGGGTGGTGTGCCGCGGAGGGGGGTGGGGGGGGGGGTCTAAGGGGCGGCCGGTCTTGCTGCCGTTGCCACTGCTACCGCCGCTGCCATATTGGGTCCTTACTGTACAGGCAGCCGCTACGGTCATGTGACCGCTCCCGCGCGGCCCGTCACTACTGTACGCAGCCGGCAGAGCGGACAAGCGCACGCGCACGCGCGCCTCCACCCAACACGCGCGCGCGGCAGCTGGGAGGGCGAGCCGGCGGCGGCCGCGCCTCGCCACGCCCCCTTCCTCCGGCGCATGCGCGTGAGGACAGGCCGGCGCCAGCCTGCGCGTGGCGTCAGGCTCTCACGCCCGCCCGCCCGCCCCTCCCTACGGAAGCGGAACTTGATCCGTCCCGGAAGGCTCATTGAAAGGGATGGGCGCCCCGTGCTAGGCGCCGCCTTGGCTGTAGAGACTTGGAATAGACAGCCTCTCCCCTCCTGGGTCGAGCCTCCCAAGCATCACCTTCAGGAAGCCTCGTACTTGCGTTTTGTTTTTTTCGGTTGTTTTTTTTTCATGTGTCCGTGTTTTATCCTTACAGAAGTTATCTTTTTGAAGACTTGGAACAATTCTCCTCCTGAATGCACGAAGCAATTTGGAATTGAGTGATTTTCCAAGCTCACAAGTCTAGGATTGTAGAGAAAACAAGAATCAGATTGCTAGCCCAGAGCCCTTTCCATCTCCCCCAAATGCCTGTCACACTGGGTGAGCTCAGCTCTGGCACAATGTCTGTATATACCATATCGGGCGCCCAATAAATATTTGCTGAATGATTCAGCCGAGTCTGTGGTCAGAAACCATTATTTGTATTGTCCATAACAGCCTCCTAGATCAGAAATGCGGCATCTTCGGTCGAGTTATCCACATCTTTATTCTTTGCAAAGTAAAAAGAATGTGTAATGAGGCCTACTGATCTCCTGAAGCCACCTGCTTCAAGAAGCAGCTTCCAGTTTACTAAAGTTACCGTATTCTAAAACACACCTGAGTATTGGGCTGCTTCTTGGGAGGTAAGGCAGGTGAGAGCAATCTTTGGAGTCCATGTAGGGTTTCAGAAGTTCAGGGACTCCCTAAAGTTATGGACAATATTTTGTATGTGTTAACTGTTCATTTTTTTTGAGAAGAGGATTCAAAACTTTTCCTCAAATTTTCAAAAGGGGTCTGTTAAACTAAAGAAAAGTCTTCACAGGGCTTTTGAGAGAGCATCTAGATACTCATATTTCTCTTTAAGTAATTTGATCAGCAGCCATTCATAAGGATATATTTTCATAAACTCCTTTAGTAACTCACAGCACTATTCATATCACTAAGGTATGTATGTACCATCTCTCTCTAAAGCCTAGGTCTATAGTCAGTTCAAGAAGCACCTCTCCATCCCCATCAATGGACTGGGGCTTGTCATGCAGCCCTGTTCACTAGGCAGTCTCCCTCATCTTGTTTTCAGATCCCTAGGCCAGTAACTAGGCCAGTAACTCCCACTGTCTTTACAGGCATGCACCATACACAGATATATCAGTCAGTGCCTGACCATGTATGTGATAGCGGTCCCCTAAGATTATAACAGAGCTGAGAGATTATTACCTAGCAACATGGTAGCTTTTGTGATGTTGCACAATGCCTTACTCAGTGTTTGTGGTAATGCTGGTGTAAGCAAACCTACTGAACTGCCAGTCATAAAACATACTAGAGGCCCAGTACACAAAATTTGTGCTCTCGCGGAGGAGGGGTCCCTTAGTTTGGTCTGTGCCCTCTCGTAATCTGAGAGCCCTCTGGAGATATCTGAGTTGGATATCCTTAGTGCTGCTGCAGAGGCAAGTGAGGCTCCCATCACTGCTGCTGTGCTCGCCAGCCATGAGCCCTGCTTCTGGGCTAGCAGCGCTCCCCCTGTAGGAGTATACTGACCACCAGGGAGCAGCTCCTGCATTGAACCTCTGCCCCCTGGTGGTCAGTGCGTGTCATAGCGACAGGTCATTCCACTGTTCAGTTGGTTTGCATATTAGCATTTTGTTATACATTAGGTCCTCAGGTTACGTCGGAGATCCATTCCTATGGTGTAACGTAACATTGGCATAACTTGACGTAACATAAGCACCTCTGTCACTCACATGGAGCACATACAGAACAGTAATGAAGTGAAACAGTAAAAAAAAAAAAATTTAAAGAAAGATAATAATTCCTGACCTTTACTTGTGGTAAACAAATAATAAAAAATATAAAGTACATATGTACATACGTTGAAATGAGGGGACTTTATATATGTATATATAAATAAATGGGAGATGGCGACCTTACCACAAAACGACATGCGTTGAGTTCAACATAACCCAAGGATTGTCTGTATAGGATAACACAGCCCAGCAAGTATGGCTCAGTGGTTGAGCATTGATCTATGAACCAGAGGTCAAAGTTTGATTCCTGGTCAGGACATACGCCCAGATTGCAAGCTCAGTCCCCAGTAGGAAGCATGCAAGAGGCAGCTGATCAATGATTCTCTCTCATCATTTCAACAAATAAAAATTTAACTTAAAAAATAGATGCTTGCCAGCACTGTTTTGGCTCAGTGGAAAGAGCTTCAGCCTGCGGACTGAAAGGTCCCAGGTTCGATTCCAGTCAAGGGCATGTACCTTAGTTGCAGGCACATCCCTGGTGGGGGGGTGTGCAGGAGGCAGCTGATCGATGTTTCTCATTGATGTTTCCAGCTCTCTATCCCTCTCCCTTCCTCTCTGTAAACAATCAATAAAAAATATATTTTAAAAAAATAGATGCTTGATAGTATTGCAGAATTCTTGAATTTCTTAAAACTTATTTTGTGGACTAACATACTATGATATGTCCTGGAGAATGCTCCATGTGTGCTTGAGAAGGATGTGTGTTCTGATGCTGTTGGATGAAATGTTCTGCAAATGTCTGTTAAGTCCATCTGGTCTAACCTGTTATTTAAGTCCAATGTTTCTTTTTTAAAAATATATATTTTATTGATTTTTTACAGAGAGGAAGGGAGAGGGATAGAAAGTTAGAAATCGGTCAGCTGCCTCCTGCACACTCCCCACTGGGTATGTGCCTGCAAATAAGGTACATGCCTTTGACAGAATCGAATCTGGGACCCTTGAGTCCAGAAGCCGACACTCTATCCACTGAGCCAAACCAGCTAGGGCTCCAATGTTTCTTTTTTGAGTTTCTGCCTGGGTGATCTATCCATTGCTGAAAGTGGGATATTGAAGCCCCCTATTGTGTGTTGCTGTCTATGTCTCCCTGTACATCTATTAATATTTGCCTCATATAGTTAGGTTCTCCTATATTGAGTGCATAAATATTTACAAATATTATATTCTCAATGAATCGATCCCTTTATCATTATAGAATGACTTTCTCTATCTCTTGTTACAGTCCTTGGCTTAAAGTCTAATTTGTGTGATATAAGTATAGACACACCTACTTTCTTTGGGTTTCCATTTGCATGGCATATCTTTTTCCATCCCTTCACATTTAGTCAATGTGGGCTCTTAAAGCTGAAGTGAGTCTCTTGTAGGTAGCATATGTTTTGGTGTGTTTTTTTTTAATATATATTTTATTGATTTTTCACAGAGAGGGAGAGAGATAGAGAGCTAGAAACGTCCATGAGAGAGAAACATCGACCAGCTGCCTCCTGCACACCCCTACTGGGGATGTGCCCGCAACCCAGGTACATGCCCTTGACCGGAATCGAACCTGGGACCTTTCAGTCTGCAGACCGATGCTCTACCACTGAGCCAGACCGGTCTTGACTAGCATATGTTTTTTTAATTCATTCAGCCACTCTATATATTTAGATTGGAGAGAGAAAAAAAAAATGTTAAGGTCCATATGGTAAAAAAAAATACTCAAGTACTCTTTATATTCCTGTGTTATGTTTTAGCTTGGGCCTAGACTAGGTAAATAATGCATGTGGTAATAAGAATTCATTGCCATTAACTTAATTAAATTAAACAAATGAGTTTAATTAAATAAATTAGTTTTTAGCTTTCAGCCATGAACCAAACAAATACTGAGGACCAGAAAGGAATGCAAGACTACAAAGCAATGAGGACAGTGACTACATCTGTCATGTTCATTATTATATGTGCCATGCCCTTAAAAGAGAAAGTGCTCAGTACATTTTTATTAAATGAATAAATAAATAAATGAATGAATGAACAAGACACAGTTCCTACTCCAAAATAGCACTTTATTTATTTATTTATTTATTTATTTTAGAAAGGGGAGAGACATTGATTTGTTGTTCCACTTATTCATGCATTCACTGATTGCTTCTTGTATGTGCCCTGACCAGGTATGGAATCCACAAACTTAGTGTATCAGGATGACACTCGAACTAAACTGAGCTAACTGGCCGGGGCCCCAATAGCTCATATTAAAGTAAGAAAGACCTATATACAAGTTAAATATGTTGTAACCATAAATCTGTATGCAAGATCCCAAAGTGACCTAGAGGAAAGACAATGTAAACCCCATGGGGATTAGGGCTGGAGAGAGTGTCCAGCAGGGCTCCAAGGAGGAGCCTTCTAGATCACGGTTTGTAATGACAGCCAGAGAAGAGTGGTGGGGCAGGGAGAATAAGTGACATTAGGAATAGGGAGGCCAGTTAGGAGGGCTTGGTTGCACTGCAGGGAGTATTTTGTTCTCAGATTCTATATCCTGATATAGAATCCAGGTTCCCAACCTGGAGTCCAGGGGCATGTGCTTGGACATTAGCTTAGTCAAAATTATGTTTTTATTTTCACTAATTTTAAACTGATTTGTCACCTATGACTTTGTCACTAACAGAAATCACAGATATTTTTATATTGTATTACAGTTATCACAATTTCAATATTTTTAAAAAATATATTCCATCGATTTTTTACAGAGAGGAAGGGAGAGGGATAGCGAGTTAGAAACATCGATCAGCTGTCTCCTGCCCACCCCCCACTGGAGATGTGTCTACAACCAAGGTACATGCTCTTGACTGGAATTGAACCTGGGACACTTCAGTCTACAGGCCAATGCTCTAGCCACAGAGCCAAACTGGTCAGGGCATAATTTCAATATTTTAGACCTGCCACTAGATCATGTCATGTAATGCATTGAAAATGAAGCACACCTGGCTGGTGTGGCTCAGT